GCCTCTATTGTGGTAGTGGAAAATCACCTTATTCATAGGATTGGGTACAGGGCCAAATCTTTCATTTTTTTGACCTGAGAATATAAACTTTGCAAGCACATAGCTTTTCTGATTTTGCACCATAGGGCTGCCTCTTGAAATATGGTGGTAATCATTACATCTCAAGGTAAATAGACATGACAGGAAATGTCTTTTGTGAAGTACATTAACACAGAATTTCTTTGTTTTTGATCCAAGAAAAAAAAAAGTCTTTTAGCAAGAGGAGTGAGAAAAATAATAGTCTCAGATAACGTAAGGCTAGTCAAGGTAAATTGTACCTTAGCGTTCTTCAATTGAGTGGGAGGGATTGATTGGCTGGGAGTTCTGGAGTTTACATGGACTGTTTTGTGGTCGCATTTTAATTCCAGACCTGGCTTTGCTGATATAAACTGATACAACAAAATCATTTAACTATTTCGCTCTGTTCCTTCCTTATAAACAGTCACTCTTGTTCGTAAATCATGGAGACAATCATTCCAGTGTCAGTATATTAAGCTGCCAGGTCCTTGGACATGATCTAGTCTGACCCAGATCTAATCTTCTTTACAAAGCTCATGACAGAGGGTCATTTAGCTTCCACTTGAAGACTTCCATATTGACTATTTACACTTTGGGACAGGTCTAACGACTGGGATTTGTTTTTTTTCCTTCCATATATCAAGCCCAAACTAGCCTCTGTAACTTCTCATTGGTTCTAATTTTTCCCCCTTGGTATCATGTCTAATTTCTGTTTCACATGATAATCCTTTAAATTCAAGAAGACATCTGTCATGTCTCCCCTAAATCTTTAATTATCCAAGTTAAACTTCCTCAGTTTCTTCACCATCTTGGCCAGCCTTTCTCTGGTCACAAGCCAGTTTATTAATATGCTTCCAAAAATGTGGAGCCTAAAAATGAATACAATGCTCTATCCACTAGCTGCCAAGTCGAAGTTGGGGTCTGACCTGGGCAGAGCATGGCAGCACTGCCACCTTTTAGCAACCTGTACAAAACACAGCTATTAAAGGAGGCTAATAGTTCATGAGCTCTTTTGGCTGCTACGTCACACTGCAGATTCTTATTAGTTTTGCAGCTCACAGGTCTCAGGCATTTTCACATCAACTGTTGTCTAAATGTATCTTCCCTGGACTTGTTTTTTGAACCCAAATGTAGGACTTTACTCCCTATTAAATTTTTTTAAAATTAGAAACTTGACACACATCAACAAAATGATCATTTTCACATAAAAAGAAAGTGAAGCCATGAATCTCTATTAACATGCAACTTGTTTTAAAAATACATACTAAACTTTACACCTTACTACCAGAACTTCCCTGCCTGTCTGAGTTCCCTCCCAAACCTCCTTCTGTTCTCTTCTGTGTACTGTATTTTAAAACATTTCATTGACATTCTTTTCTTTTTTTGGGGGGGTGGCATCCATCACTATCATTTCCTCCCCTGTTCCCCCATAACTCTCTCCCACATTCTGATTGAATTTCATCTTATTAGATTCAGTCTATCTTTCTAGTCTGTCAAGGTCTTTTTGGATCTCATTTCTATCATCCAATGTACCAGATACTCCTTTGAGCTTGTCATCAACAGATTTATCTCAGTCACTGATAAAAACTGTTGAACAAGGCTGAGGAAAGAACCATATATCCCTCCACTAAAGACCCCTCTGGGTTGATATCAATCAATTAATTGCCACTTTGGGGACCATTTATTCAGTTAATTCTAATTCAACCTAACTCTACATAATGCGGCTTATACATCTTTGTCCTGTCCCTAAAATTATTGTAAGAGACTTTGTCAAATGCCTCACTGAAAGCTTGTTATATATCCCCCTTGGTCTAATAATTTAGAAACCCTGCTTTTAAAAAATAGAAATGAGGTTAGTCTGGCATGACCTGTTTTTGATGAAAGTGTGCTGGCTCTTTGCAATCACTTTGCAATCTTTGCTTCCTTGTGTAAACTTTCACAAACCATCCTTCCAATAATGCATTCTAGAATTTTGCCAAGAATTGAAATCAGGCTCACTAGTCTATTGTTAGAACAATTTACCTTTGTTCCTTTTAAAAGAATCAGGGTGACATTTTCTCTTTTCCAGTCCTGATGTACCACTACCATTCTCCAAAATTATTTAAAAAATCAATGACGGTGGCTCAGCTATAACACCCACATTTTTTTCCTTAGCCGAAGTTATAATTTGTTTGGGTCTGGTAACAGGGGAACTAAGTGCTTTCTTGAGTTTGCATTGTCTGGAAGTTATTTTTTGTTCTATCCTTCACAATCTGAAGATCATTATCCTTTGTAGAGAAAACAGAAACAAATTGAATAGTTCTGCTTTCTCTTTTTCCTATATTAACCTCCTCCTGTTCTTACTAACCAGAAGCCAAACCTTGTGATCTTTCTCTTACCCCCATAATAGTTTTACAAAACCTTTTAATCATTTAAAGACTTTTTTGATTCTTTTTATAACACCTTGTCATTCTCTTGTATTTATTCTCAGCTTCCTCTCCTCTCTTTTATCTCATATATGGGCTTTTAAAATTTGAGTTTCTCTGTGAACTCCCTAGACAACCAATCAACAAACATTTATTGAATGCCTACTATGTATCGGGCATCTAGTCATTTTTCTTCCAACTTATAATTACTTATGACTACCTTACCAAAATTTCATTCTTGAAGCCTCTCATGACTCTTTAGCCAATTTCCTTTTTAGAGCCTCAGGTCTCTCTAACCTATCTCAAAATCTTTTGAAATTCACTCTTCTGAAGTATAGTTACATGTCAGACTATGCCAGGCATTAATTATCACAAATCCTGAGATGGCACGATCACTTCCTTCAAAGATTTTTGTCTTTTCTGTAGTAGTAAACCATTTTTCCTCTGTCAAAATTAGGTTGAGAAATAGCAGGTCTGCTTTGTTACTTTTTCCACCTCCTGAAAAATGGAATCATCAGCAAGGAAAGCCAAAATTAATAAACTTCTGATTTTTTCAAAGACACCTTCAATGAATGTGTAGGTAGTTATTTATCTGTGACAGATATGAGATCTATGTTAGGAAAGTGTCATGTAACATCTCCAGCTGACCTGGTGGCCTAGAAAATGCTCTCACAACACTATACCTTCTTTTTTTCCCCCATCTTCTAACTCTCAGTAAATATTTACTATCACATTTCATTCTTCCCCCTTTTGTAAGTTCATGGATCTTTGCACTAGTGAATAAATAACTTCTTGATGTGCAATGATACCCTACTACTTCTTTTAAAATTCTTCCTTTTGAACTAGGTATATTCTTCCATTCCTGAAGCCCAGTCATGAATTATATCCTACCACAGCTAGGGATACTTATAAGAACACATTTACCTTGTCATGTTAATATAGCCATCACATCTGTCTCACTTTATTATCTGTACTCTATGTAAAATATAAGATCACAGGTATTATTTCTGCCCTTCATCCTCATCATTGTTTTCTATGAATTACTGAGTACTTTTATTGCTATTATAAGTAAAGGGGAATGTAATTTTCTTCTTAGTTAAGAAAGGAATTTAAGATATGTAAAACTACTATTCTGCTTTTCAATTAAGAATAGAGAATATGCCACTCTATTCAATAAAAGTAGCAAATAACTTCGGTCTTTTATTAGGATCAGTTGAGAGAGAAAGAAGAGTAAGAAGAGAGAGAAAAAAGAAGGAAGAAAAAGGGGAAAAAAGGGTGATAGGGACAAATACATTGATAAAGTTTGCCATCAGGAACTTCTCTTGTTTCCCTTAATCCTCATGGAATTGTGGTCTGCTACTCTCTAGATTGGTTTCACCTAGGAATTGGTTGCCACAGGAACACGAAAGAATTAAAGAAAGCTAACACTGGGATAGCAGAAAGCCTTAACTTAAGGCTCACTGAATTCTAACACTTTTTTCTTCTGTCCTGCTTGCCAACCTCCTGGCTTTTGATCACTTGCTTGGATTTTGGATGACTCTGCCCAGGTGACGCTGTGGTCACACCTGCGGGCAGCCAAGGTACTCACCTGGCCCTAACTTATTGCTGGTCTTTTTGTTCTGACACAGACACTTACAAGTATTGAACACTGTGTTACTGACCTCCAGTCTTCCAAAGGATGCTAGAATTCAGCCATGCTGCCAGCCTCCTACCGTAGCTAATAAGGCCAATGTACCTGACATCTAGGGCTGTTGGTTGTCTATGGGGTGTTGAGGCAGTGATAACTGGACAAAGCAAGACAGAGAAACAGGCAGAAAAAAGACTGTTCTGTGAAAAACCATATTCTGAATAGTGACGCTGGTTGAGTCACTGTTAGACAATCAATAATTTTTTAAAAAATCAATTATAAATACCCTATTGACTAAAGCATGAAAGTAGATATAATAGAAATGGTGCTGTCTTTGAAACCAGAAGACCTGGGTTCAAATCCTACTTGTGATACTATCTGGGTAAACTTTGGCATGGTGTCTCATTTCTCTCAGCCTCAGTTTCTTTATCTGTTGAAATGGAGGAGAGGTGAACTAGATGATCTCCAAAATCTCTTCTAAAAGTTTTTGGGATAACCCAAGTTCCCCACAAAACAAAATAAAGAAGAACATTCTATCCTCTTGATCCCTTCCTTCCCATTCTGAAGGGCACCTGTAGTAAAGGTTTGATTGTAGACGCTTAGGTGCATTTACTCCTTCCAGCCACTAGGGGACTACATAAGCACATTTAACAAATAATTCTTTATGATTCACTACAGCACTGGGGAAAAACTGGCTCATTAATCTTCTGATTTAATCAAATAAGCAAGAAGAATTATCCTGAATCTCTATTACTCTGAATGCTTTTAGTTTCAGTTCATGATCCTCTTACTGCTCAGCCTAGAATAATCCTTTTAAACAGTTGTGAGAAGTATGAATGGCCTTCTAATACCAATTTGTCAGTATTACTATGAATCTGCAATGGAATTTGGAATGATACAGTTATCATTCCAAAGGGTCAGTCATCCCTAAGGAAACAGTCTTTGTAATGGATTGAGCAGCTCCTCCAGCCATCTGAATCACCAGTGGATAATACTAGCCATAACAATCATAACTGAATGAAAAGGTCTCTTTCAACTTGATTGGTCAGGATTTCACATTTTTCTATTTGTTCTTCATTACTTTTCAATGGGTTTACTGATTTGGAAAGAATTCTGCATGTTACTAAAATGTATCAAGCTCTGCCTTGAGTTTACTTTACGGTTTAGGCCATTTGAAAACAAAATGGTAGCATTTCAAAATTTTAGAAGGTAGACCTTTTGGAAACATTTAATGGATTTCAGTGAGGTTTGGTTGACGGACAGTGACAGAGACATGTAGGTAGATGGTAGTTAAAATGCTAGTATTGCCCCAGTTAGTACATTGAGGAAAGGACGGCATAGTTCACAGAACCAATAATAATGCTGCACATGTTCACATTTGAAATTCGGTTCAATTTGACATTTATAAAATACCTACTATGTACAAACCGTTGTGCTAAGTTACTTCTGCTTAGAAGGAGGAGGAGGAGTAACACACACACACACACATAAGATAATTTGTGAAGAGAGAGAGAACTTCACAGTTAATGGGACCAGGAAGGCTTCTCTTGGAAAGTGACATCTGAACTGAGTCTTGAAAGAAACAAAGGTAGATAGGAGGCCTTTCAGGCATGGGGGATAGTGTGTTTGAGAGCACAAAGATGGAGATGGAATGCTGTGTTTGGAACAAAGCTAATAATCCTATTTGGCTGGAAAATGGACTGCATGAAGGAGAGTAACATACAATAGATCTGGAAAGGTCAATGAAAGTCAGATTGTGGAGGTCTTTAAATGCCATGCCAAGCAGTTTGTATTCCATCCAAGAGACAACTGAGAGCCACTGAAGGTTTTTGTGGAGGATAGTGAGCATGTCAGACCCATGCCCTAGGAATATTATTTTGGCAAAAATATGGCAGATGGATTGGAGAGGGAAGAGAGTAGAAGTTGGGAGAAAAATATAAGGCTGTCATAGTAGTCTAAGTGAGAAATGTTGAGGGCCTGAACAGGAGTGGTGGCCCTTAGAGTGTAGAGAATGGGACAGATGCAAGAGAGATTGTGGAGAAAGAATTGACAAGATTTGTCAATGGATTAGATGGCAGTGATGGCATGGGTAGAGTTGGGAATGACTCTAGGATTGTAAACCTAGGTGACTAGAAGAATAGTGGTGCCTTAATGGAAATATGAAAATTTGGAGAAAGAGGGACAGGTTGGGCGATAGGAATAGAAAATGTATTCATCTTGGGACATGTTAAGTTTGAGATGCTAGAGGAACTTTTGTGTACACGTACCCATCAGGCAGCTGGCCGTGTGGGACTGAGGTTCAAGAGAGCAATTAGGGGTGGAAATAATAAATGTCAGCTCTCTACTGCTCAGTTCTTTCATTTTTGGTAAGTGACCAAGTTCAGATTTTTTTTGGGGGAACTTAATCCAACCCATGGCAAACCTATTCAGGCCTGGAAAAGATCAGTCTGGGGAGAAAAAGACTTCTTAACAAGTGAGATTTATTGGGGGAATTGTAGTGCTAAGGGCACTGAAAGAATAGCATGTCTGTCCAAAGAAGGTGAAATGAAGTCTCTGTCATTTAGTGTTTTCTCTCATGGCCAAAGTTATTTGGTTAATATGACATTAGAATTTAAAACGTTTAAAAATCTGGATATTACAAATGGACAGAAAGATCCAAAAGCACAATCCTTCCTTCCTCAGGTTGTGGCCCAAGGATTAAGCTTCCTGCGGGCATTCCCTCCTGATTGAAAGGCCTTTTTGGATGGAAGAAAATGGTGAGACGAGGCCCTGGGCAAGCTCGATGTGTTTGACAGGCAAACTCAGCCAACCAGCTGGGTCATTTGGGGCAACTCTTACGCCACCTATTACCGTGCTGCAATTAGCATTGGGTGGCTCTCCTCCAAGTTTCTCAGAGAACCATGAAGTCTTGAATGGTTGTTTGGGCCTTAAAAGTCTATAAGGAACACAATTAAATGAGGGGAAGTAATATGATTGGTGAAATTCAAGTTGGCGACAATCTGATCTTGCTATATGTTATAGAACATCAATATATTTGTTCCCATCCATTTTTATCCAGATATTCAGCATGAGGCAGGGATAGCTTCCATCTACTCAGTTCTAGAATGTGCTATGATGAAAGATATATGTTCAATGGGCCTTATATTTATTTCACTTCCCAAGCCAAAATTGAAGTGAATACAGTATATGTATGTGTCAGGGCTTAAGGCGTGGGAATAAGAAATAGGAGGAACATAAAATTGAGTAGAGGTAACTTTCCCTGTTTTTCAGAAGCCACAAAAGAGGAACTAGAGTTCCAGGAATAAACAAACAGAAAAAGAGCAATGGAAACACTGAATCTCTCAAATTACATATGTATATTCTTTACTAGCCCAGTAGGGAAACTAATGAATATATTAGAAGAATATCCTTCATCTCTTTTGGATTCACAATAAAATATGCAGCATGTCATTACAATCAGGAGCTCTGGATGAAAAAAAAGCAAAAACAAAAACCAAACCAGTCCTAGTGCCTTATCTGACGATCACATAAAATTGATATCATGAACATTTGATGCTAAGTTACTGAGAGCTCCTTTATCTGACAGCTCTTAATATGTCTGTCTGTTTTTCTAATACCAGGAGCTGAAGCATCCAATTGACACGAGGGTCATTCAACAAAGGAAGAAACAAAATTGGGAAGAAAAGAGGAATTTTCTTCCTTTGCTCCTCTTCCACCACCACAGTATGACAAACGCTGGAAGCATCTAATTTAAGTCAGTTGCAATATTGGATTACAGCCTTATTTTCAGGTTAAAATTATCTATGTATGTATGCCTCTCTCCCACTTAATATTTACTTTTGTAAACAACATAAGCAATTGATTAAGAGCTAAGAAAACATGCACTAGACTTCTGCTGTAACCTAGCTTGTAATTTGTACGGATGTGGGTAAGCCACGGGTCGGATCTTGTCCCTCCCAAACATAGTTATGGCCTGATGTGATAGTACCATTCTCCAGTGTTGCTCCATGGTATGGCTTCTTACAGCTCCCAGAGTTAGAGAAATCTTCTGTTTGTGCTTCCTTAGTTTAGGCGTTAATATTTTCCTCACTAGATGATAACAACAACTGACAAATAAAGATTGAATGGAAAGGGCCCCATTTCAATGGGAGGAGTCAGAATTTCAGCTAAAGAAAACTAGTTTCTTTGTGTGGTGTGTGTTTGCGCAGTCTTTAGATTCTAAGAGCATTACTGTTTTGAGTGCCTACTATTCGCCCCTCCTACAAGGTACTTGGAAGACAAGATCTGCCATGAAAACTGACAATCAAGGTTTGTAGCCTGGTAGCCAGGACTGCAACTAGATTCTAATTGATTTTGGAAATCATGCTTTCTAAAAGTGGATAGAAACTTTCTGTGATTAACTGAAAGTTTAAAAAAAAATAGAAAGTCAGCAGGCATCATTGGGAAAGTCATTTTATTGTTTAGTTTCTTCCCCCAATCATAATTTGCAGGGCAAGTCAAGAGCCTTGAATTTTGTCCATGCTCAGTAAGCATGTGATAATGATGATGTGAGACAGCTTGGCATACCAGGAAGAACACTGGATGCAGAGTCCCAAGGCCTTGGTCTTAACCACAGATTCAGGACTTAAGAGAACCTCAGCTGCTTCATCTTTAGAATGGGAATGATGATACTTGTGTTCCATACCTCACTGGCTTGGTGTGAGAAGAAAATGAGACCACGTATGTAAACATTTTGCGAACTATCAAGCTTTCTATTGGTCAGAGATGATGAAGAGATAATAATAATAGCAACAGCTAGCATTTACATGGCAGTGTAATGTTTCCAAAGCACTTTACAAATAGTATCTCATTTGATCCTCACAATGACCCTAGGGGTGTGGGGGTGGGGTTATTATCTGCATTTTACATAAGAGGAAACAGAGACGGGTGGAGGTGAAGTGGCCGGCTCAGGATCACACACTGCTGTGTTCATGGCTAGATTTGAAGTCTGGAGTCTTTTTGCCTTCAGGTCCGGTGCTCACTCTACCCTACTACCTTCTCCATCAAATCAGAGCCTGCCGATTGACCTGGAGTTGGGTGATGCAGGCTTTCTACCAAACAAAGGTCATTTTTATTTTCTTGCTGACATAGCCAGCTCATTGGACTTTTGAAGTCTGTTGAATTGAAAGACATTTTCCAAAAGGCCAGTTCTCTGTTTCTGTCCAAGAACATGGCGGTGTAAAGCAGATTGAATCAGACTAAATAAGGTTTCCTGAAGTCACTTCCAGCTCGTAGATCTATGCTTCTCCAGTGTAGGCCAGAGTCTCCAGCAATGGAAATCTTTCATACCTTTGGGAAGACACAGTTCCTCACCTCTAGACACCTACATGCCAAAGGAAAACAGTATAGACTTGGACAGTATAATAAGGCCCTTGGCCCCAAACACCGTATATACTCCTGAGAGTAGTTGAGGGATAGAGAAAATCTGAGACAAATGCTATGTTGCCTATGGTTTAAGGTGCTTTTAAAACCTTAAAATAACTTGTGGAAGTGAATATTGAAAACTAAAAATAAATAAATTTATATTTAAAAAAGCCCCTTAAAACAGTTTAATAATTTGATTCTTGAAGTGTGGTGGAAACTACACTGGATATTGAGACAGAGGACCTGGGTTTGAATCCTGATTCTGTCACTTACTACTTGTATGACCCTAGACAAGTCAATAACTTCTCTGGGCTTTGTTTTCTCAGCTGCAAAATAGGGCAGTGGGACAAGATGATCTCTAATGGTCCTTTTAACTGTAAGCCTATGATGTATAAGCATTTCTTTTTGGATTGGACCTATGATAACCCATGTAGATCAGCACCTTCTCTGAAACTAACAGTCTTAGAGAATTTCCTGGAATACTGAGAAGTGACTTGTCCAGGGTCACCCAGCCAGTACGCAGCAGAGGGCAGAACTTCAATCTCTCTCTCTCTCTCTCTATATATATATATATATATATATATACACACACACACACACACATATATATATACCTGTATATATGTGTATATATATATATATACATACACATATATACACATATATACATATATATAATAATAATTATTATTTTTTGGTGGGGAGAGAACACTAAAGATGGTAGGACGTGGGTTCAAGGAAGGGCTCCTTTAGTTCCTGGTGCTTGAGTAATGCCTTGAAGAAAGCTAGGGATTCCAAGAGTCTGGGGAGAGGAAGGAGAACATTCCAGACATATGTGGCAGCCTGTATAAAGGCAAGGAATTGGGACTTGGAAAATCATGTACAAGGATTAAAAACTGTCGGGACAGTTTGGCTGGCATGTCAAGCGTGTGGGTGGGAGTTATGTGGAATCAGCCTGAGAACAGAGATGGCAGCCAGATTGTGCAAGACTTGAAATGTCAAATAAACTTTATCCTAGAGGCAGCAGGGAGCCACTGAACCTTCTTGAGCTTCATTTTCAGATATGGATTGCAATTACTGGACAACCTCTGAAGCTCCTTCGATTTCTGAAAATCTGTGATTCTGTTCTAGGCAAGAACACAGTCTGTGTCCTTGTGGACCTCAGAGTCCAATGGTCTGTGGTTTCAAAATAATTTGTTCTCCCTCTTCTTTGGGGAGTGGAGCCTTAAGCTTAAAGGATCCATGATTTCAAAAAGAATGTTCTTTTGTAAGCCAAAATTAAATTCAGGCAAACTTCATCCATTTTTCTCTTGAAGGAGATGTTAACAGCCAGAGGTTTTAGCACTTTTTGCTCAAATGGAGGCTGAATGGTAACAAGACTGAAATTAGTTGAGAGCTTTTGTCTACAAGGCATATTCAAGGTCAACTGAGGAAAGTGCTTTTCTTCAAATGATAACAAAAAAAAGTGATAAAACCAAAAATTGGGATGGAAAAATTATAACATTCTTTTTGCAAGTGCAGAAGAAATTAAAATTATTCTGTGAGTTTCTGAAAAGGAGGCTTGGTTTATACTTAAATACATATTAGCTACTAAGAAAAACCAGAAAACCAAATATATCTCATTTAGGAGGAAGACTGGGAAAATAGGGAGAATTCACTAGAAATTTAATTTGTCAGTTTAAGGATATTTTTTTTGGGAGGGGGAGGATGAGGTTCCAGTTCTATAGGTTCAAGATGTTTTGGTTAAGTACTACGTAAATCAAATGGCTAAAGGAAAATTACCTAGCTAATCTAATGAACACTGATAGTCATCATAGGCCATTTAGAGCCTCCCACAGTTTTATAAAAATTGTTTTCCCTTGAGTAATTATTGTGATTTTTCATGAGATAGAATATTGGTCCAACATGTGACACAATCTATAAATGTGAGTAGATGACTTCCAAGGTGACAAGGCCATGTACCCACGGTGCTAGGCTAAGGAGTGAGTCTCTTAAAGAATGTCTGAGAATTGGTACTATCCAATATGACATCTTTCCTTCCTTCCTTCCTTCCTTCCTTCCTTCTTTCCTTCCTTCCTTCCTTCCTTCCTTCCTTCCTTCCTTCCTTCCTTCCTTCCTTCCTTCCTTCCTTCCTTCCTTCCTTCCTTCCATCATTTATACAATATATGTGCATAATATAATATGCACATACATTGTCAGTAAAGGGGTAGATTGATTTGTCTCTTCCTTTTACATGTGGAACAGAGTGGGCTATTCTACAGGTTGCCATGATAATGGTCTGGGAGAGGGTAGGCTGATTCCCTGAACATCATTACTGATAACAGAGCAAAAGAAAAGTTGTGTTAATTTGCATTTCATCATAACCTGTTTTCTGGACATTTTAGCTAGTCTGCAAAGACATAAATTTGGCTTCAATTTAGGTAACACTTCCAAACAATTTGAGCCATCCAAAAGTAGAAAAGAGCTACTTTGGGCTGCATTCAGTTCTCCCTCATCGGAGGCATTCAAGAATTGACTGGATGGCCATATTTCAGGTATGTTGTAATGGGGACTCCTTTGGGGGTACAGTTTGTACTAGATGGCTGCTGAGGTGACTTCTAACTTTGAAACTGTGATATGGAAATATTCTTATTTTAAAATCATAATAAAAGAATTAGATTCAAGAAGCCAGAATGTTTTAGGATATTAAAATACTAGTTATAAATGTTTGTGTATGTATATTTGCATAAATAGATTATATATATACAAAAATGCACATATATGCATGCATGTATAAAAATGTACATATGTGCAAATTCATTTGACCTTATTATATGAAGGTGACCCTATGGGTAATGTTTAGGACTTGTCTAGACAGGTACTTGTTAAAGGACCAACACTAAATCACATTACTCTTCTGACCGAGTATATAACATTTATAATCCTTATTGACTGGCTATAAAATAACTATAATTTTTAGAGAGCAGAACTTCGTATTGACATTTTGCATACTAGTTAGTTTATGTCTGGTTTACCTCAAAAGATCCAGATACTCATTCTTTTGGGTCTTGAGTTATCTGTTCTGTATCTACTCACATATTTACTTGTAGCTTTAGAAAGGTTTGTCTTTGGCCTCCTTTTTGGCAAAGGTCTCACTGGCTTACTCAGCAAACTAAAAACAGTGATAAGAATGATATGAACATGATTCCTTCTCCTGAATTTACCCTGCATTTGTTTTGTATACATTTTTATTTGTGTTTATTTTTCACCAGTAAGAACATAAGCTCATTGAGGGCAGGCACTATTTCTTTTTTGTATCTTTATCTCTGGCACCTAGAAAAGGACCTGGCAATAGGGCTTAATATTTTGACCTCAACAAATGCTTGTTGATTGGCTAATTGATTGATCTGGCTGTTTCCTAGCATTTGCATTTGATCCACAAAAGACATACTGTATCAGTTCCATCTTGCCCAATAGACTGTCTTTGATGATCACCTCAAGGAAGGCAAGTTTGCCCTCTGTGATGTCACCTGAAAGGGTTTGGGGTGGGGGATGATGATGATTCTCTTAGCGTATGATGATATTATTATCTATAGACTTATCTAATCCCTCTGGAAGCTATTTTCATATTTTTTCAATATGTTCCATGGGTAGTGTTCTCTTTTATTTTCCTAAGACTACTTTCAAACATTGAATTGCCCTCAACTCTTAGCTGATTTGGCAAATACCCCAAAGAATAATGCGTCATCTTCTGAATGAATAAGCTAAAGAATTGCTGCTTGGCCAAAGTCACCCATTGAACCCACTGCCAAATCAAACACCCCGACCTGGATTCTGTTTATTATGATCACCATTTGTTCTTTTCTACCAGTCTTTCTGAGCAGGGACTGATGATTGTTTTAGGGTTGCCTAATTGAAATACAATTTTCTAATATAATTTTTAATGAAATGGAAACTGTCCAGAAACAGCATTACTGTTGCTTTTTTGGTTTGTTTTACCATCTTTCCTTTCTTTCTTCCTTCTTTCCTTATAATATATACATATATTATATATGTAATATAGAATATCATGTATTTTATATACAATTCAAATTTTATATATAATATATACAAATAAGCTATTATGACAAAAGACATTATCAAAGGAATATATGACTGAATAACAATGACGATGATAAAATGATGGATAACGATGTTAAAAAATATGATTCGGGATAGATCTTCTATGGGGAAAATGTAAATAAGAAATACACACAGTGAAAATAGATTACATTTTGCTTTTATGGAGAGAAGGTGCCCATGCCAATAGATTCATAGAACCAAGCACCAACGTTCTG